TTGGATGTTTTCTACATTTTCAAATATATTGATTTCAATTATAACAGGACACAAAGTGTACAGTGCTCATTTTATTTTTGATTACAAATATTTGTGCTATAAAAACAAAAGCAGTAGTATTTTTCAATTCACCTAATACAAGTACTGTAGTGCAGTCTCTATCATAAAAGTTGAATTTACAAATGTAGAATTATGTATAAAAATAGCTGCATTCAAAAATAAAACAAACAATGTCAAACTTTTGAGCCTACAAGTCCACTCAGTCCTACTTCTTGTTCAGTCAGTCACTCAGAAAAAAAGTTTGTTTACATTTGCAGGAGATAAGGCTGCCCTCTTCTTGTTTACAATGTAAGTGGAAAGTGAGAGCAGGTGTTCACATGGCACTGTTGTAGCTGTCGTCGCTTTAAGACTTCTGAAAGCATATTTCATACCTCATCCCCCTCAGATTTTGGAAGGCACATCAGAGTCTTAAACCTTGCATCAAGTGATGTATTTGTCTTTAGAAATCTCACATTGGTACCTTCTTTGCGTTTTGTCAAATCTGTAGTGAAAGCGTTCTTAAAACTAACAGTGCTGGGTCATCATCCGAGACTGGCTATTATAACATGAAATATATGGCAGAATGCGAGTAAAACAGAGCAGGAGACATACTATTCTTCCCCAAGGAGTTCAGTCACAAATTTAATTAACGCATTTTTTTTAAACGAGCGCCATCAGCATGGAAGCATGTCCTCTGGAATGGTGGCCGAAGCATGAAGGGGAATATGAATGTTTAGCATATCTGGCATGTAAATACCTTGCAATGCCAGCTACAAAAGTGCCATGCAAACACCTGTTCTCACTTTCAGGTGACATTGTAAATAAGAAGCAGGCAGCATTATCTCCCATAAATGTAAACAAATTTGTTTGTCTTAGCGATTGGCTGAACAAGAAGTAGGTCTGAGTGGACTTGTAGGACTTATTTTGTTTTTGAGTGCAGTTATGTAACAAAATAAATCTACATTTGAGTTGCAATTTCAAGATAAGGAGATTGCATTAGGGTATTGTATGAGGTGAACTAAAAAATACTATTTCTTTTATAATTTTTACAGTGCAAATATTTGTAATAAAAATAATATAAAATGAGCACTGTACACTTTGTATTCCCTGTTGTAATGAAATCAATATATTTGAAAATGTAGAAAAACATCCAAAATATTTAATACATTTCAATTCGTATTCCATTGTTTAACAGTGCAATTAAAACTGCAATTGATTGCGATTAATTTTTTAATCGTAATTAATTTTTTGAAGCACGTGCGATTAATCAACAACCCTAATTAAAACATATTAAATGTTTTCAGTAAAGTACAAAAAGTAAAATTAAAAGACATTGTCAAGAATTTTTAGTTAGAATTTTTCTTCTCCAATGTCTGTTCGCTTTTAGAGAAGTAAGACACAGCTCTTCTTTTATCATCGACTATGTTCTTTTCCATTTGGCAAAAGACAGGTTTTTTTTCCCCAAGTGTTTTTATTTTAACAAGTTTAAATTTACAGAGTACCCCTCTCATGTTAAAATAGCATCAAACCCTATCAGCATGGCTTTACGAATATTATTAGACTGTGCTGAAGAACCAGCTTTTAGAAATGGGAAGGCTGGGGACAGCAATAAAACCAAGTTTTAGCAGGCCCAACAATAATAGTGGCTATTTTAAATTTATGGTGGAATGAAAAGTGTGAGCAAGAGAGAATTTAGTGCTTGTTAAAAAGAGCTAGACTGGCCATCCTGGACACTGAAGTGCTCCATATGCAATCAGATCCTTGGTCTCTCCCTTGAGACTGCCAACAGGAATGCCAATGAGTGCCAACAGAGGTAGCAGTTTCAGTAATGTGATAAAAATGTGTGTACTGCAAACAATACTGAGCCCACAATAGTACTCATTTCATATTGGCCATTAAACAGTTAATCCTATGGCAATAACAACCACTCAAAACAGCTAAGGTAGATATGGTATTTCACATGCTATATTGCCTACAGAATGTTCATATGAACATTCCATAGGCAAACGCATGCAAAGGGGAATAATTTAACACAAAAATACTGCAGCTCCAAGGAAAAAGAGCCCAAGCATTTCCCCCAAAATTCACAGGACTAACCAGGATTTAGGAGATCTAATCTCCCCACCGCCAGGGGATCCTCCTCACTCACATTAAGGAACTCTAGTTGATGCTCTCTAAATCTAAGTCCCCTCCTCCTCTTTGTCCATTGGCAACATGGCAGAATCAGCAATTACACTGTCCCACTGCTGCACCGTAGCTGTAAAGTCACATCACAAGTTGTGATTCACTATTTTTTTACTTGAGTTTTATCCCAATGGAGTCACACTGACATAAAACTGGAATCAGGCCTAGAATGTAAAACAGGAGTTAATGCTAGCTTTCTAGTTTTCCCTTTTGAGTTGATTCAAGCATGAGGTTGACACGGGAGGAACCATAGTGTTTAGCACAGCTCCACATCCACCATGCTCTGCCCATTTTCCCCACATAGCATTGCAAACATATTTTGTAGAAGTGGAAAGATAGCTATGCAAAGAGGAACTATCACATATTGACACTTTCTCCCTCAGGAAGACATCACAGCTTTTTTTCAAACATATTTTCTCCCCTCTGTGTACAGTTCAATAAGGGAAAGCTATAGCCAAAAATGGCAGGAAATTTTGCCATAAAAAAAGTTTAATGGCTACCGGCAAACTTAATATTTTTTTAAATAGGCAAATAAATAGCACATCTTGACATTTAAAAAAAAAATCATTTGGTCAGGCCTAATTCCAAACAAAACCTGATCAGGCCCATCCCCAGCCTCTACCCTCCCATTTCTCTGAATACACACCTGCCTGCTGCCTCTTCAGTCTCACTTTCAGTTTCAATTTCTGGTAGGCTGTATTGCTTGCAAACACTCTTGCAGAGCCTGAGGAAAAGCCTGCCCATGAGCTCCCCCCTGAGTAGTGCAACCGATCAACGAAACAATAACACTTACTATGCAAAACACTGTCAAACGCACTAAGTAAACAAATTCAAAACCTAGAGAAACCTATGTTTGTCCCCTATTCCTTTTCTGTTCTAGTAGCTTTAGTTGTTTCCTGTAATAATGATTGTTACAACATTTTCAGATTGGAATTTTCAGTTTGAAAATTGATTGTGTCCCTTGATCTTGATTTTGCATGTGAGTAGTTCCATTGACATCACCAAGACCACATGAAATTGTCTGTGTGCCTACCTGCACAATCAAAGCCTTAGTGACTTAAAATGTGGGCCTGAAAACTTTTCAGTTTTAGTCAGATCATTTCTGTTTTAATTTATTATCAAAGAACAACATGTTAGCTTTCTCATCAACTCTTGTATTTTAGTTTTAAAGTGAATATGGTCCTCCTGAGGGCAAATCAATGGCTCCTTCTACAATGCTTAGTTTATTTGAATTATTCCTGATGTCTTTAATAAGGGACAAAGATCAAATCAGCAACATACTAACAATAGAAACACTTATGGTAAAAATCATTAATGTATTTTTTATACTTCATTCTTCATAAAATGTTTTAGACAAAGATCTGCAAATTTCAAAAATGCTTATATAAGCCTGGCAATTTAATGGCCAAACTGCTAAGGAACATTACAATCAAAGATAAAAGAAGCTTTGAACCTAAAAATCTCACTCAAACTTCAGAAACAGACAAATCTATTCCATCATGAATAAACAGGATATTAAATTTATTCAGATACCTGTTCATTCCTGTCTCCTCTATAATGTAAAACAACTCCTAGTATTTCTGTACTACAAATATGAAAATATATGACTTGTTATGCCTGAACTTCCACATTTTATATCCTGAGGGCAATAACTGTAGTTTTCACTTCCAATTCCAAGTTCTAATCTAAATTAGTGGTGGAGATATAGATTTATACACCCTTTCTCCATACAGTTTTAAAAGGCAAGATAAAAGACCATCATAGGCCTTAATTTAGTTTCAAATTTTAGAAATAGTCTCCAGTGCACTATCCTCTACCTTTTGTCAAAGCTCTATTTTCTCAGCAAGTTCGTTCTGATCATTCTTTCCCCTACTCCCTGCTTTTTAAACACATACTCATGGGTATTTACAAAAAGCACTCCTCACCAGTAGCACAGCTGTGTGTAAACTGAGCTTCTATTTGGGAACTATACCAATACATCACTGCCTCTTACACAAACTCAGAATATAAAATCCTGCACATTTACTTCCCAAATTCTTCACAAAACTTCTTTTCCTTCCACTCATCGACCCAAAAGTCTATTTTTCTAGGGAATCACCTCTTTCCAACTCAGGAAGCCAGAGGCTTAGCCTCACCCCCTGTGCTTCCCCTAGCCACATAGCTGAGAGAGGTTCACATTCTTTGGAGAAACATTCAGCCTGAATGAACACTATTAGGAATACGGATTAGGAAGGTGCAGTCCTTGAACCTAAGGAAATCCGGGGTCAAGACACTCTCGAGAAAGGAGCCTCTCTTTTTGAACGGTTGAACAAAAGTGAAAAATATCTTCGCAAGCCCGGTTCTTCGAGAACTAGAGAATTAAACTAGCCAGGCCTGGATCAGCATCGCAGCTCTGCACCACAGTGGACGCCGCTAGATTTTCCAGCTGGGACCAATTTCTGATCCCTTGCTGGCGAGCGACGAAGCAATACGGGGGCCAAACCTGGCACAGCGTGTGCGCTGGGCCACTTGCTCCTTGCTCAGCCTGGCTCTCCGCGCGCTCACACACTGGGCTCGGCAGTGCCCCGCGATGCTTATCCGGCCGGGTGATCGGCAGGGCATCCATCCTCCCCTGCCCCTACCGCCGCCACGGAGGGGAGGCACGTCAAGGCAGTAGGAGCTGCAACAAGTCCCCACCGTGAGTGGGGCTGAGCCTACCGGGCACGCGAGCTTCCCAGCCCTGGGGAGGGGACTCCCCACGCAGCATTCACCCCCTCTCTCCCGCCAGCCGCCCTTACCTAGATAGTGTCTCAGGTCCAGCAGAAAGTGCGGGGGTCCCCCGTTGAGCTGGTAGAAGAGGGAGCCCAGGCAGAAGAGCAGCAGGGCGGCCATGCAGAAGCCGTAGTCGCGGAGCGAGAGGAAAGGCAGCAGCGAGAGGGGCCGCCGCCTCCTCCAGGCACCCCCCTGCCCGGGCCCCCCTCCAGCTGAGGGGGCCACATGTGGCCGGGGCTCCTGGCAGCCCCTGCTGCTGTACTGCTGCGGCTGCTTCTTCATCGTCCCCGCCGCCGCCCCCTGGTCACACAGCCCGCCGGGGACAGCGCAGCCTCCATCCGCCTGCCCCGCTCCGCCCGCCCGGAGGGAAAGTTAGCGGGAGCTCAAGCGAGCTGCCCCCTCCCCATGGCCTGCTGCCCCGAGCCCGGCTCGGAGCGCGAGTCCCGGGCGCCGCCGCGGAGTCCGGCTAGGCGGAGGTGGTCACCATCCTACCCCCTTTCGGGGTCGTCTTTCCTCCTCCGCTCCGCTGCTGCTCTCTCCCCGGTGTCAGGTTACAGCCCAGGCACCGCGGGCTGCCGGCTCCAACTCGCAGCGAAGTTGTCTGCGCCCCCGAGCCCGCTCCTCGCCAGCCACCTTCTGCTGCTCTGCGCTGGCTCGCTCGCTCCCTCCTTCTCCAGCCGCGCCGGGGGCCTGCTCTTTCCACGCCAGCGACCCCTAGGGGCTCTGCCGCTCACTCCCGCTCGCTGAATTGCGCTCAGGGGTGGGGTAAGGCCAGGGCAATACAGCTGCGATGAAGCTCCCGCCACTAGAGGTCCTGCCTCTGTTTCCCAACCTACCAGCTGGCTTCTCTAACCTTCTGCTCCCTCCAACGCTGATTCCCCTGCCGTTCACATCCTCAATTTGTCCCAATCCCCGCTGCCTCCCAAACCCTTCTTATGTTCCCAGTTTCCAACCCGACTTCCTTGCTTTCTCTACCTTGCCTCCAAGGTAGCACTAGAACTAGATGGCCCCACCTTTTCCAATGTCCTGTGCTTCCCCCCTGCTCTGACTCTCCCCTGGGACATCTTCAGCAGGGCCGGAGTTAGTACTTCAATTTCAAATTTCTAACATCTGGAACCTTTTGTGCTTTGGATTTCATTAAGGGTAAAATGGGAAGCAACATCAACAACAACTGTGTTTTTCTTTTTCTGCCCCTTTGTGATCACCATCATCTCCTTGTCTGACCTGGGTGGCATATCCAGACCTCACCTAACTCTCTGAGGGAGGCCTTTGGCAAGATCATCAGAGAGCCTGATTAAGGCTAGCACACAATGCTGCAACAGTCCCATTTCCCCCTTGAGGGGAATAAACTGATTTTTAGGCCTGGTGAACACTGAACAGTCTTACCAGTAGAACTATTTTGGTTAGGGGTATGATTTTTTTTAACTAATGTAGTTAATAGTTAATAGTGAGAAGTGTAAGGTGATGCATTTAGGGATGACTAACAAGAATTTTAGTTATAAGCTGGGGACACATCGGTTGGAAGTAACGGAAGAGGAGAAGGACCTCGGAGTCCTGGTTGATCGCAGGATGACTATGAGTCGGCAATGTGACGTGGCCGTGAAAAAAGCTAATGCGGTCCTGGGATGCATTAGGCGAGGTATTTCTAGTAGGGATAAGGAGGTGCTGGTTCCGTTATACAAGGCACTGGTGAAACCTCATTTGAAGTACTGTGTGCAGTTCTGGTCTCCCATGTTTAAAAGGGATGAATACAAACTGGAACGGGTACAGAGAAGGGCCACTAGGATGATCCGAGGAATGGAAAACCTGTCATATGAAAGGAGACTCGAGGAGCTCGGTTTGTTCACCTTAACCAAAAGAAGGCTGAGGGGGGATATGATTGCTCTCTTTAAATATATCAGAGGGATAAATACCAGGGAGGGAGAGGAATTATTTCAGCTCAGTACTAATGTGGACACGAGAACAAATGGATATAAACTGGCCGTCGGGAAGTTTAGGCTTGAAATTAGACGAAGATTTCTAACCATCAGAGGGGTGAAGTTCTGGAACAGCCTTCCAAGGGAAACAGTGGGGGCGAAAGACCTCTCTGGCTTTAAGATTAAGCTTGATAAGTTTATGGAGGGGATGGTTTGATGGGATAACGTGATTTTAGTCAATAGGTCAATAACGTGCCATCGCTGGTAATTAGTAACAATGGTCAATGATGGAATATTAAAAGTTACTACAGAGAACTTTTTTCCGGAGGGTCTGGCTGGAGAATCTTGCTCGCATGCTCGGGGTTCAACTGATCGCCATATTTGGGGTCGGGAAGGAATTTTCCTCCAGGGTAGATTGGCAGAGGCCCTGGAGGTTTTTCGCCTTCCTCCGCAGCATGAGGCAGGGGTCGCTGGCTGGAGGATTCTCTGCGACTTGAAGTCTTTAAATCATGATTTGGGGACTTCAACAGCTGAGTCAAGGGAGAGAATTATCCCAAGAGTGGGTGGGTCAGCTTTTGTGGCCTGATTCATGCGAGAGGTCAGACTAGATGATCATAATGGTCCCTTCTGACCTTAAAGTCTATGAGTCTATGAGTTATATTAGTGCAAAGATAATTTATAGTTAGTCTCTTTGCTGTACCGGAATAGCTATACCAGTATAAAGTACCCTTTTACCAATATAACTGCATCCTCACTAGGAGAGGTAGACCCACTTTAACTACAATGACATAGTTAAAGTGGTACTACTTTCTAGTGAAGACAAGCTTTGGCCTTGTCTATATTAGAATAATTAGTGTCCATTTATAGCAGCTGTCATCCATGTTACAGCTGCACTAGTGGTAGCAAAGATGTAAGTACTAATAGAAAGTTGAAAGGTCATGATTAATTGAAGCCTCGGCATCTGGAACTATGGAATTACATGAGGAATCTCAGTTTTCAGGGTTTTTTTGTTTTGGTTTGGTTTTTGGTTTTTTTTTTAAGCAAGTTTCTAGCCATCATTGTTTTTCAGGAAAAAGTGGGAAAATGTGACCCAACAATCAGAAAACAAAACAAATAATCCCAATATTATTATTATTATTTGAGCCTCTCATCATTTTCGGGGGAGGCTGACTCGTGATTTTTGAATACTTGGAACTGCCAGTACTGCTGTGTAGACAAGGCTCAGATGTTTTTGCCGCCTATGGTGAAAACCTTGTAAAAACACTTGAGCCTCATCTGTACTATTGGCTTAGTACTGTTCCTGGTAGCTGCTTAAATATAGGAACTAATTTTGCTAGTGCAGACAAGACCATAGAGCCTGATCCTGTAAACATATAACAGGTGATGGGATTACTTACTTCAGTAAAATTAATCACATGCTTAATTATTTGCAGGATAATACCCTTTAGATAGTGTGAATAAGAAGATCTCAATTGAAGTTACAGACTCATGTTATGTAAATATTCAGGTTCTCCAAAGATTTTACCCAGAACATGCAGCAAAGAGAACTAAACAAGCACCTATATTTCTTATGAAAGAAAAAATACCAAAATAATAGGTTTTTTTTAAACGGCAAGGCAAAGCTACCACACTGAGCTAGTGCTGATACATCAAGATAGTAAAGGGCAATCCCCTTTTTGGCTTAGCAATTCACCTTAAACAGAAATGTTGCTTGATTTAAATATGATATAGTTACAACCTTCATTTTATGTTAAAGACATTGTTTACTTTTTAAAATAATCTAATGAAGCATCAGTCAAACTTGATTTTAGTATTGTTAATGTTTTTACAACTTCCTACTGTTTACCACCTTTAACTCATAAGTGTGTTTTATCTTTTTTACTACTTAAATATGTACAAAGTGGTTTAAGATTAATAGAAAGTAAATACATTTAGAGTGCTATTTTGTATTACAAATGAGAAACTGATATGCACTTACATTGAAAAAGTGAGAAAATGTATGCTTTGAGAAGATAATGACAAGACAACATCTGTAAGGTGAACCAATAAATCTTTATTTTTCTAGATGCAAAGAATGTCTTTGATCTCTAGAAAAAGCTCTTGAAAAAGGTGAAAATACAGACATATCCCATGGAAGAGATTTAAGTGGGAATACTCTATGGGTGAGGAAGTTCTTTCCTAAATCCTAAGAAGTAACAGTAAAAATTCCCTGGACAGACAAAAGAAATAGAAATCTATTAGTGAAACATAAAAACAAATATTTTTAGATGTATACATTAACTAAAATGAATTCTTTCATGTGCAAACTTTTAAAAACCAGCATGTGATCATATAATTAAAAATACTCTATTATAATGCATATTCACAAGGGGTCAAACTAAGATTGCACAGGCAACCTTAATTCTGGCATTTCCTAACTTTTGAGTGCTTGGCTTTGCAACCTTGACATTCTTCTAACATAGTGGTTATTTTTTAATGTAATGTACTAGATTTTTAAAATATCATATAGAATCACATTGACAGCCACGTGTCATCAGTAAGGTTGTAGCCTTTAGATCAGGGGCGGGCAAACTTTTTGGCCTGAGGGCCGCATCGGGTTTCAGAAATTGTATGGAGGGCCAGTTAGGGGAGGCTGTGCCTCCCCAAACAGGCAGGCGTGGCCCGGCCCCCACCCCCTATCCGACCACCCCTGCATGTCGCCCCTAACGGCCCCCTGGGACTCCTGCCCCATCCAACCCCCCCATTCCCTGATGGCCCCCCCGGACCTCTGCCCCATCCACCCCCCCCGCTTCCTGTCCCCTGACCCCCCCCAGACACCCTGCCCCCCGATACCCCATCCAACCCCCCCTGTCCTTCCTGACTGCCCCCCCCCCGAACCCCTGTCCCATCCAACCACCCCTTCTCCCTGACCACCCCCGGACCCTCCACCCCTAACTTTCCCCCTGCCCCTAACTGCCCCATCCAACACCCTCTCTCCTTCCTGACTGCCCCCCTGGAACCCCTGCCACATCCAACCACCCCATCTCCCTGTCCCCTGACCGCTCCCAGAACCCGCACCCCTGACTGCCCCCAGCCGCCCCATCCAACCCCTCCTCTCGTTCCTGACTGCTCCCCCTGGGACCTCTGCCCCATCCAACCACCCCTTCTCCCTGAATGTCCCCAGAACCCCTGCCCCCATTCAACCCCCCTGTTCCCCGCCCTCTGACTGCCCCGACCCCTATCCACACCCCCCCGGCCCCTGACCACCCCCCGAACTCCCCTGCCCTCTATCCAACCCCCCACTCCCTGCCCCCTTACCGCGCTGCCTGGAGTACCGATGGCTGGTGGCACGGCTGCACCATGACACCAGCTGGAGCCAGCCACGCAGCACAGAGACCGGGTCAGGCCGGGCTCTGCAGCTGCGCTGCCCCAGGAGCTTGCCGCCCCACCGCCCAGAGCATTGCGCCAGTGGTGCAGTGAGCTGAGGCTGAGGGGGAGA